TTTCAATTTTGAAGCCATTTTATAAAATGTTGCTGAACCAGAAGTACCAATTGCTCTCAATCAGATGTAAAGTTTCTTTGGAATTCATTTTTATCAACAACATCCTCAATGTAAACTACTTTAACATTAATTGTACATTTTTTGACAAAGTCTGTATTGTGATCACAGGAGTTTGCTCACCGAATCAGTTCTTTGCTAGCTGACTATATGCTGCCCCTTTTTTAAAATCCCTTGTCTGCTCATCACCTACGGACATGACAATCAAGTAGTCAACACATTGAAAAGGTCTCCAAGTCTTTAGCAGTCTGACTACAGCAGCTTATAGTTTCCCTCACTAAAATAATTCAGAGATCAGTATGTTTGAAAATGAAAAATGATTTTTTTATTTGGTTTGGGGGTTTAAAAAAGAACAGTTATGAACTGATCTCATCCTGCTTCCTGGCCAATCTGTAGAGAATACAGGTCAGATCCCACTGGCTACAGCCAAGGCGCACACAGCACAAATTAAGAAAGGTGTGATGCAAAAGTTACATGAAGCTTACCTTTGTATCTTACTACCTCAGACTGTCCGGTGTGGCATCGACCCCAGATGTAAATTAGAGCAGACTAGCAGTACACTAATGTAGACCAACTGCAAAGCAGTCATAAATAGCGGAAACAGCAAAGGACTGGCAAGCTAAAAGACAGTGTGGACCGTACCTCTTTTCCTCCTTCCATGTCCCCACATTAACAGCTGGGGGGACGGGTTGTGTGGAATTCTGTACATCTTCTTTGTGTCACTTAATTGGGGTAATTCTCTCAGGGCTAGACATGCTGACTTCATAGGCAGAATCCACCAACAATACTTTGCAAAGTGGCCTCACTGGATGGGAGGATGTAGCCATCTATTTCACTATTTTCTATTATACCTGTTAGAGACATGCACAGGAAATGGCAAATGCAGCTGGAAAATCAATCACAGGTATGCCATCTGGAAAATGGCCCTACTTACATATTGCTATTGAGTTTTATGGCAAGAGCCTTTTGACTGTGTTGATTAATTGTATAGCCAATGGATTGAATACGCTTGTAGTTCATTCTGAAAAATGTTCAAGAGACCAAATAACCAAACTTAGACAAATGTATTGTTTAAAGACAAAACAGTACAATGCGAAAAGGAAACATGAATGGCCCTCCTTCTGGGAAACAGGTCTTATCACATGACATGTTCATCATACATACAAGCTGTGTGCTTTGGAAATATGCATTTAAAAAAGCTATTTTTACAGTATAACATAACAATGTATAAAACTCTCTGTATGTCACTAAAATCCAGCCGATCAGTTAGTAACAATTCCTTAACTTATTGTTATGTTACATACTTTGTCTCTGTTTTGGGCTATATTCCAAAATGGGTGAATGTAATTATACTAAGACATTGAATGAATGTATCTTGATTTTGACAGATTTCATATTTTTGTTAGCACCAAAGCTGACTTCAGCTTGACAAAGAGTTATGGGATACGTCCCATGAGTGAAGCAGAATACCGTTCAAATATAAAACAATGTATAATATATATTAATGGTGTGCAATTCATATATAACAACTGATTTAAGAGAAATATCTTTTCATGAGCACGGTCTGAATATATGAAAGACATTTGCTCCCATGTTAGAATAAAACTGTATCTTTAAATTGAGACTTTGCCAAGTAGCTTGAATGTAATTTATAGTTTAAAATTCAGATGTATTCACTTTACCTTCTCTGAGTTGTCATGCATTATTTTGTCATCAGAGCTAAATGCCAGTTCCTGGCCTCCAGCTCCTTTCTTTTCGTGCTGTTTCCATGGCACAGAAGGATACAGGGGTACTCTAACAGGAAAACATAAAGTCAGCTTTATGGTACCCACTCTCCTGGCAGATGTTTAGTGGGGGCAGAATGGGATGTGGCCAGACATGTACTACACTCCAATGATCCCTTGTTAGCAAACTTAGAGTAGTTCCTAGGCTGTTTTAAGTAGCAATAAAGAATAGGAAAGGAAGAGAAATGATAAGGCACTATAGAAACATCCAGTTTGGGGCAATAAGCAGATGTGCACACCCCACAGGCACACATACTCCAAAGCCAAGGCATGCAAGGGTAAGCTGAAGCAGAGCTTCCTGTGACTTTTTCCTTTTAGTGCACCAGCAGAGCAGAGTCATAATTAAGCTTTCTATATTTATGTAAGTAAATTATGTTTATGTAAATAAATTACTAGGCTTTTTTTTTTTTTTTTTTTTTTTTTTTTTTTTTTTTGGCTAAAAACATGTCCATATTTTTTCCTCTGTTGCAAACGTGATGGATCTATCTATTCAGTGTATTTTATATACATCTTTAATTGGTCTAACTGCATTGTCATCAGTGAATTTATTTACCCTATCAAACTGTGAAGTCTTGCCTACATGTGGTCATACATAATTGCTGTCACCATGATCAGGGCCAGTTGTTTAAATACTCAGTTGTGAGTATCCAGTGAAATAGCTTTAAATAACAAGATAAACAGTACAGCTGCCAACCCAAAGTAATCTTACACTGAGGGGGTAAGTAGCACAGAAAATTTCCTCTTTGTCATTTTAACTTGGGTTTGAAGCTAGACCTGGGCTTAGTTCCAGCTCAAAAAGCCGTTCACTTCAAAGGCTCCTAAATCGTCCCAAGGAGCTAATTTTGGCAGTCAATTGTTTTTGTTTGGCCAGGCATCCTAATAGCAAAAGCTGTCTGCTCTGGCAAATGAAGACTTCTTGTTCAGAACCACCATTTCCAATTTTTCCTGATAAAAGACGAGAGATGTTTGCTAATAGCCTTTCTCCTCCCCTCTCCTCCACAAAAAAAAAAAAAAAAAAAAAAAAAAAAAAAAAACCTAGTGTGTTTTTAAGTATTTACAATTTATTTAAAATTAAAAGGAAAAATAGTTTATTTTTCTACAGGAACATTAAAATATTTTCCCTGATCAAAACTACAGAACAATTAACACCATTCTTAAATTCTAGAATAATTTAGCTGCTAACAGAATTATAATGATAATATCAGTGATAATGATACTACTTATGGAACTAGAGCACCTTTATGTGTATGTGACATTTTCTATCCACCTGCACCAATGATATCAGTATGGTGAACTCAGCAAATCAATCTCAGGGGTAGCCATGTTAATCTGTAACTTTAAAAACAATTAAAAATCCTGTGGCACCTTAGAAACTAACAAAAATTTATAGACTCATGAGCTTTTAAGGGTAAAACCCACTCCATCAGATGAATTGAAGTGGAAATAACAGAAACCAAGATAATTTATATAACAGCAGAAGAAGTACCTGTCAATTGTAGGATCCATGTTAATGAGGCTAATTAAGTGGGCTGCATGTGTTCCATTCAGAGTTTTTTATATGAAAACACAGATGTTAAAGGCAGGCAAAATTGACTTTGTAATGCGCCAACCAGTTAATGTCTTTATTCAAGCCTAGGGTAATAGCGTCTAAGTTGTAGATTCAGGGGGTAGCCGAGTTAGTCTGTTACAGAAAAAAACAACAAATGGTCTGGTAGCACTTTATAGACTAACAAAACATGTAGATGGTATCATGAGCTTGAAAAAGCATGAAAAAGAGGCCAGCACACCTTGTTATGATCACTTTAACCCAATGGCTGTGTCTACATGCCAATGTAGACACAGCCATTAAGTACAACACTTGGAACTTTCTAGAGTAATGGGACACATTGTAGCTGCTCACAGTTGGGTTAATTAGTGTGAAAAATAATTTAGAATCCTGGAATCATTTCGCTTGGTTGCTTGTGGAGTATATTTCCATTACACGACTATCTTAACAGCACAAAGCCTGTACTTTGTGTTCCAAATTTTGTTCGCTTTACTTATGCAAGAGTCCCCCCTTAAAGAAAATAGGACTATTCTGTGAATGAGGCAAGCACTATTCAGTCCTGTATCTTTTCTGTCATATGTGGGGCCTTGGCCAAAATGCTTTTTTAAAATATTTCTTTACTTATTTCTATACTTGTTCATTCTTTCATACAAATTTTCATTTACTTACAAATTAAACACCCTTATTTTACATTTCCTAAACGTGGAACATTTTAAATATTTTAAAAAATCCTATTGGATCTAATCTGAGATTTTCTGCTTAACTTTTCCAGAAAGGAGGATTAGTTTAGTTTAGCATGATTTGCAAAAGGCTATATATAACCTTCAGTCTGTGTGGCAGAGAAATACAATGTATATTACTTACAGTTATGTGCAGCTTATAGTACAAATCTATTTTAATTAAGTCTGTTACTCCAGAATTTTCTCCCCGTATATAATGTACATGTTGATGTGTTTCACAATGTCATATGTAAGCTTTAGAATAGTTACTAAGGGTGCGTCTACACAGCAATGTTATTTCAGAATAACGGCCATTATTCCAAAATAACAATGCAAGCATCTACACAGAAAATCTGTTATTTCTAAATAAATTCAAAATAACGGACAGCTTATTCCGACTTCTGTAAACCTCATTCCACGAGGAATAATGCCTCTTCTGAAATAATTATTTTGGAATAGCAGTATGTGGATGCTCCACTGCTGCTATTTTGAAATAGCTCCTCCCCAGGGCCATTCCAATTAATTACTCCCCAGTGCCTCCTGGGTCTTTAAATTGAAGTAGCACATCTGCATTAGGGGAGCCTGCCTCAAACTAATTTTGAGGCTTCCCTGTACTGTAGACGTGCTATTTCGAAATAAGCTATTTCAGAGTATTTCTTGCAGAATAGCTTATTTTGAAAGAAGCATGCAGTGTAGACTACCCTAAATATTTTTGTGCCTACCATCCATCCTAAATTATATCTCCTGTAATGGGAAAATTCGAACAAAAGAAAGGCCAGTGGAACTGTACAGTATCTACAGAACTATACTAAAAAATAAAAGTGTGTGTTTGGGGGTGGAGGAACAAAAATACCCAAACTTAACTGTCTTTTTTTCTCTCTGGTTTTTTTCTAGGACTTTGAAACAGTATTTCCATCCATTAATCTCTTCAATAAGTTTGGTCAAACATATTCCAAAGCTGGGCAAATAGTGTAAGCAGCTATCTATACTGTGTCTATTCTATCCAATATAAGAACATCTGATAAGCTATAAAAATAGCAATAAAGATCTTTGAGAAAATGCAAAGCAGAATGTTGATTAAATTTCCTACAAGAATTGTGAATGTTTTCCATTAAATATTGTATGTTATGAGTCTAATAAAGTAATAATTTAATCTAGTTACATGTATAATAAAGTAGTTCTTTAATGGTTCCCATTAACTTGATCTTTTAGAATTGTAGTTTTAATATTAAAAATCCTTTTATAGTTTTGGCAAATGTAAGGAATTAGGAAAACGGTCTGACTTTTACTTTTATAATAGTATATATACAAATTGTATTATAGTATATATAGTAATTAGGGTGCACCTGCACAGCAGGGCTTAACTCAAAATAAGCTATGCAAATTGAGCTATGTCACCTGTGTAGCTTATTTCAAAATAGCTTATTTCCAAGTTAGGAGCGTCTATACAGCACTTATTTCAAAATGGAGCATGCTTCCTCTGACTTCTCGTGCAATGAGGATTACAGGAGTCGGAATAAGAAGTCCTCCAGCTTCATAATATTTCGACATTATTTCAAAATAATTGCTTGCAGTGTAGATGCAGACCAATAATGTTGCTGCGTAGACGTACCCTTAATGAAAAAATTATGGCTAAGGTCCTGCAACTGTGATTATTAAAATTACGTAACTGGTGTTAACTACAATACAAATATTATTTTATCTGAAACATGTAAACCTTGAACTAGCAGATGGAAGAATCTACAAATGTTGAAATTTTTTCCTTTGGGGCCTGACCAACCTCTTTTATAATCACTGGATTGGGTCATTAATACACAGATTACTTTTTTAAATACTTCAGCTTTTCTGTGCTTGATATAACTCTGCATAGTTAAGAAAGAAAAACTGCAATTCTGTAACACTCACGTATTAGCTTGTGAGCAAATCCATTTCAACGTATTTACAGTATTCTGTGCATTTCATTTTACTCTTGGTCCAAAAATATCTCTTGTTATAACCAGATTGGCACAAGGAAGAATGTTGCAAAACAACCATTGCAAATGGCTGAGGATGAACACATTTTTGATCACACAAAATTCAGTCAGGTTACCATCTCTCACATGCATTTTCACTGGTGCTTGCTCCTGCAAGGTGCTGAGACCCTTGGTTCACATTAACTGTAATGGGAAGCAAGAGTGCTCATCACTTCCTGGAGGGAAGAGTTACACACCTTTCAGGACTGGCCTGTAATTTGCCTCTTCAAATAATAATGCCAGTGGATTCTGTTTTCATAGCACTTTGCAGTCTGAATGCTCTGAGAGATACTGTATTTTTCTCTGTGTGTAATTTGAAATATTTGCAACTACCCTTTTCAACTGAAAAAAAACCTTTTTTTATTAATGAATTTTTATAACGTGGGTCTATTGTCTTCTCCAAATGAGCACACAGCTCTCATTAATGCCTGGTATTATTCACCCGTGGGATTGTCTCTACAGTAAGACTGAACCACTGCTGACAGACCCTTGCAGTAGCAAGTTTACCTGAATAAGTATTGAAAATAGCTAGTATAGACAGGTACAATGTATGTTCAAACCCACTTCCAGAAAGTCCCAGATTTGTGGGAACCAGAGGACAAGAGAACCCTCAGGATATGTCTATGCTATGGGACAAAATTGAATTAAGATACGCATCTTCCGCTACATTAAATGTGTAGCTGACACTGAAGTAGCTTAACTCAACTTTTGGTGCTGTCCACACTGCAAGAAGTTGAAGGGAGCACACTTTCCCTTCAACTTCCCTTACTCCTCATGGAAGCAGGCATCAAAGAGAGCACCCCCTCAGTTTGAATTAGCTGTTTTAACTAGACCCGCTAATTCGAACCCTGGAAGATCAATCATACTCTGTAGTGTAGACGTACCCTTAGAGAGTAGAAGAACATAAGAATGGCCATACTGGGTCAGACCAAAGGTCCGTCTAGCCCAGTATCCTGTCTTCCCACCATGGCCAATGTCAGGTGCCCCAGAGGGAATGAACAGAATAGGGAATCATCAAGTGATCCATTCCGTCTCCCATTCCCAGCTTCTGACAAAAGATCAGAGGAAAAACATATTTTAAATTATAGCAGTACAAAACATTTTTAAATTACAGTGGTACAAAACAAAGAGGGCAGTATTTGAGACAAGAGAAAAGCATTGTATATTTCTGTTCTTTTGTACATTTTAGAGTTTTAACAAATTCAAACTTTTGAAAGTTTGTCTTTCTGAGTTGCAAGAGGAAATGAATGTCCTTTAATTCTGATAAGTGAGAAACACCAACCTCAGACAGGTCTCTTTTGTTACGATTTAATTTCACCAAATAAACCGGAGTGCTTTTGTGCTTTGTGGAGGGGGTTGAGCACCAAAAGACACTTGCACAAAACTGTTGATGAATAAAGATGCCACAGTAATTTTTAGATGTGAGAGCTGTCTATTTGATTGCTGCAGCTTCAAGGTAGTTCATCACTTCACAATAATTTATCCTGTGGTACCTCTTACCTCTATACCACATTTTCCCATCAGTTCGATTAGAAATGGCAATACTTTTATCAGATTAATCTTTCTTTCTTTTAATATCTCTGACCTCAGGATAAACAAAACCTATCCATGCAGACCATCATTGCAGATGCTAGAGTTTTCTGCAGCTGACAGATCTCAACTTAGATTAAGGTTAAAGAGAGTACTTTCAATTCACTCTTACTGTTTGACTCAGCTCTCACTCTCATTTTTTTAACCCTCATTCATTTTTTTTTTTAAGCACAACAGACCACTTCCCACAACTCTTCTTATACACAAGTACGTCTGTGGATTTTATTAGAGTAAGAAGCAGCTCCACAAATGCAGCGATGTAATAACTTCATTACCTATCACTTCTTTCTTCAAATGTATTTTTATAGGAAAGACAAGGTTCTCCTTTTCAGCCCAGTGTAATATAGAACTTTGTTAATTCATAGTCATGGGTAGTCACTAATATACTTTGCTGCCATTCCAATGTCCAGGTCCAGTTCCTGTACCCTCTCTCTCACTTCTCATGAAAATATAATATTCTGCCAAACAGTTAACATGTCCTGTTAACTTTGATAGTGGAAACAGTTCTTTTTTCCCCTTGTCTAGAAAAATAGTAAGTACATATTGGTACCTTGCCTGGGGAGTTCAATCTGGGGAAATGTCAAGAGACTCTGCAGAATCTCTTTTCAAGATGGACAGGTGCAGTTAGGCTAAACAGGTAAGTATTCCAATGACTATTCTATTCATTGGTTTTCGCTTCTCTAATACTAATTATATATACACATACACCCTTATATCAGTTTACTAAGTAAAAGTTTTGGTTTTAATATAAAGGCACAGTGCCTTAGTTTTCCCACTACCTACCCAAATTCCAGTCAATATCAGTTACTGAAACCAGAGTACAACACGTAGATGATTCTTCAGCCAGATAACCTGTCCACTACTGAAAGATAGAAAGAAGAAAAAAATATACTCAGAACCCATCCTGTGAGGGCCTACACATCCTAAATCCAGCTGGTTTCAGAAGTTAAGAAGCACTCAATACCTTGCAGGAGGCTCTCAGCACTTTGTAGGAATAGGCCCTTATTTTGGAATATCATAAATACAGGCAGTCCCCGAGTTACGCGGATCCGACTTATGTCGGATCCACAGTTACGAACGGGGATTTTCTCGCACCGGAGGACTGGAGCGGCGGGAGGCCTGGTCCTGCTGCCCGCCTCCTCCGGGGTGAG